CTCTCTCTCTCTCTCTCTCTCACACACACACACACTCACTCTCTCTCACACACACACATCACACACATGTATATAAATCCGTCTGGATTATCAGGCTGGTTCTCCTAAGGTTCCTCTGGTAAACCAAGCCTGGCACCAGAACCTTCAACTAAACGCCAAAAACCTTACAGACTTCTCATATACTGGTGATTTATATCCATTTTAACAATGAAGGTAATAACTGGACCATAAAATAAAAAGACTTGCACAAAACAAAATATATATAAAAAAAACACCTCAGATTGGATCAGAGCAATATTGGGGTTTATAATAAAAAGGTAAAAATATAAAATGAAAAATACTGACATTCACCGAATGAGCATCTCTGACTGACACACACACACACACACACAGTTTCTCATAGTCAACACTGGGATGAGTTTACACACACACAGCAGCTCTTCTTCATCAGTCTTCAATCGTCTGCAGATCTCCATCATGTTGATTCTCAGCTGCTCTGATTCAGATTAATTTCCCAACACTCTCTGACCTAAAAACTACTGCTAACGATGAACTCGAGGAGATCAAGCGGAGACTCATCATCGTTTGGCTCTTTTTGAAGGCGGCTCGTCAGATTTCTGTCCTCCACGTGTGCGAGGAAGAGCAGGACTGGAGTCACGCTTGCGTCCCCTCGCCGATCTGAGACACACACACACAATGTTCATGACCTATTGTTAAAGAACGCACTGCATCCCATAATGCAAAGCTTTCATTTCCAGTGTGACGATTGAACAGTAAGTGATTGTTAACATCTTCTTTGACTCATTATTAGATCAGATTCAGGCATTTTTACACAAAATTGAGTCAAAATGCAACATCTGTATTCACAAGCTGATAACTGAACGCCACTCACTGAATTAAATATGAAGCATAAAAAGGTCATGTGACTGCAGCAAACTACTGTTTGAACAACTTAAATGAGATAAATTGATACAGTACTATAACTGCACTATAATGAGCAAGAAAAAACAAAAAATTAGACAAATAAATAAACATAACAGTACTATAAAGAATAAGAAAAAGATATTCACAAGCTGATAACTGAACGCCACTCACTGAATTAAATATGAAGCATAAAAAGGTCATGTGACTGCAGCAAACTACTGTTTGAACAACTTAAATGAGATAAATTGATACAGTACTATAACTGCACTATAATGAGCAAGAAAAAAACAAAAAATTAGACAAATAAATAAACATAACAGTACTATAAAGAATAAGAAAAAGATATAAAAAAATAGATAAATAAATATAGTACCATAGCAGTACTACAAAAAAGAAAAATATATTTTTTTATTAGATAAACAAAACGGTTCCCTATTGATACTTCACTCGTTCTGCGTCTGCTAAGACGCTTTGGGGAAAACTCCTTTTTCTCCGATGACTGAAGCCTTTCAATAACGCAGTGTAACTGCACGGCTATTGGTTTGTGCAGTGAATAAAAAATTAACCAATGGCTCAGCAGCAGAGCTCCACGAGCCTATGGCGACAAAGCCCGCCAAAATGGGCGGTGCCATCTGGCTATATAATCGGGCATTTTGCCGTAGGATCCTCAGATTCTTCTCCTTCAGCGACGACTGCTAGATCTTCGCTCGATGAGACTACGAAGCCTTTGCCGTGATCAAGCCTCGCAGCGGATCAAGAGACTTCTTCCTGCAGATGCCTTTCTGCACTCGCAGAGAGCTTTCTTTTCAGAGAGCGACTCCGCCCCTCGTGCCCTCCCGCTTTCTTCCTCTCAGGAGCCTATGAGGAAAAAGCAGCGGGGCAGAGGAACTTGGCACTCGATGACGAGTGAGCCCACACCGGCTGAGCCCCCACGTGCCTCACTCTCTCCACTTAGAGAGGCTTCACCTGTCCACTTCTCCTTTCCGGACAAGTGCCCCTCTGCGGCTGCGAGCGATCTGGTTTCATTTGGTGGGAGCGAGTGTGACGCCATGGACGACAGCATGTCGTTGGAGGCTTCAGATGCGGAGGAGCTGTTGGGCTCGTATGTCGTTGGAGGCTTCAGATGCGGAGGAGCTGTTGGGCTCGTATGTCGACCCCACCCCCCTGCCATCTGCACAGCCCAGCGAACTATTCTGCGTCCTGTCTAAAGCTGTGGAGGAGCTGGGTTTGGAGAGGTCTCCGCCGGAGGAGCCAAACAACATGGACCTGCAGTTGAGGGTTTGGCCAAACACTTTACCACTGCACAGAAGTCGTCTCAGGCAATGCGACACTTCCTGCCAAAGCGCTCCATTACGACGGCTGCTTCCAGTCGCCCCAAGAATGTGCCGACTCGTCATCAAGCCCGCACTGCCAGCTGCTCTCACGGCTCCTAAGCCCGAGCCTCGTCAACACTCCCGTTCAGCCAGACGCTACCCGTTTCCTAAACGCCAGGGCCCCCGACCCAAGATAGCGTTGGACCCTGTGCCTCAGGCATCATTATGATCTGCGGGACAGGAAGAGGAAGGGGCCAAGTCTCGCTGCAGCCGGACCACCCCCCAAACAGCCTCTGTTGTGCCTCCGAGCACCCCGTTCAGTTCTGTGTGTTTGTGACCAAAAATACTGTTGTGAACATGGGGCCTGATCTAATCGCGTCTACCCAACCAGCCGCTGTTATAGTGAGAAAAATAAAACACAAACATTTTCAAAAAGAGAGCAAATTTCCTCCTCCACTCATTACGAGCGTCGGGTCCCCATTAGGCGGCCCACTGCTCGAACCAATCCAATCTCTTGCCACGCGGGTCGAGGCCTGGCAGGCCATCCCCGGAGTGTCAGACTGGGTTATAGGGATAATAAAACGGTTATACACTCCAATTCGCTCGAAGACGCCCGCGATTCAGCGGCGTGGTCTCCACCTCGGTTCAGAGCAAGGATGCACACGTCCTACACGCCGAGGTGATACATTTGCTGGCAAAAGGGGCCGTAGAAACGGTTCCCCCAGCCGAGAGCGAGTCAGGCTTCTACAGCCGTTACTTCCTCGTCCCCAAGAAGGATGGCGGCCTAAGGCCCATCCTCAAGCTCAGGCACTTGAATCGCGCCCTCATGAGACGGCCGTTCAGGATGATTATATTGAAATAGATCCTCTCACAAGTATGCCCAGGAGACTGGTTCTTTTCACTGGACCTGAAAGACGCATACCTCCCTACCCTGCATAGGGAGGGGAAGTCGTGGCCTAATGGTTAGAGAGTCGGACTCGTAACCCAAAGGTTGCGGGTTCGAGTCTCGTACCGGCAGGGATTGTAGATGGGGGGAGTGAATGTACAGCGCTTTCTTCCACCTTCAATACCACGACTGAGGTGCCCTTGAGCAAGGCACCAACCCCCCAACTGCTCCCCGGGCGCCGCAGAATAAATGGCTGCCCACTGCTCCGGGTGTGTGTGTGTGCACTAAGGATGGGTTAAATGCAGAGCACTAATTCCTAGTATGGGTAACCAAACTTGGCCACATGTCACTTTCACTTCACTTTCACATCCAGATAGACCCTGTCACAGACGATTCTTGAGATTTGCCACCTAGAATGCCTGGGACTCAGGGTCAATTTTGCCAAGAGCGCACTGTTCCCCAGCCAACGGATATCATTCCTGGGAACAGTTTTAGACTCAGCACAAATGAGAGCGATAGTCGCGCTGGATGTGCACTGGCCATTCAGCAGCTCGCTGCCTCATTCAAAGTTGGAGCCTTCCACGCTCCTATAGCTGGCCAATCGGTGGGCAGGAACAACTTAGTTGTTCATTTTCTGAAGGGGTCTAGAAGGCTCAACCAGCCTCGACCCATCACCGTCCCTACATGGGATCTGCCCACGGTGAAGAGCCCTCCATTTGAGCCGCTACAGTCCATTGACCTTTGTTCCCTGATGCTTAAGCCTGCTCTGCTACTAGCGTTAACATCGGTAAAGCGTATGGGAGATCTGCAGGTGCTATCTGTGAGCCCCACCTGCCTCGAATTCGGGCCCAAAGACTCTAAAGTCGTCCCGAAACCAAGGCATGGTTACATACCTAAAGTGCTCTCTACACCATTCAGAGCACAGGTAATAACTCTATCGGCGCAAGACCAAGAGTTGAATTTACTCTGCCCCGTCAGGGCATAGAAAGTCTATGTTGAATGCTCCGCCCCATTCAGGCAGTCGTATCAGCTATTTGTATGCTTCGGTGGCCGTACCAAAGGTTCTCTGGTCACGAAGGAGACTTTTCAAATGGATAATTGACGCTATTATGCTAGCATATTCTTTTTTGGGCTTTCAATGCCTCATGGGAGTAAGAGCCCACTCAACTATAGGCGTTGCCTCTTTCTGGGCCTGGTCTATAATCTGGATCTCCAGGCCTTACAAGCTCGGGTCCTTTCTGCATAAAGAGGGCACTCTGTCATATGACAAAAATAGTGCTTGGCGTTTGCCTTCTTCATGTACGCTCTTGGCCCTCACTGAGTTCCGAGGCTGTACTAAATTATCTTGGGACGATTATGCAAGGCTGGGCTGACCTCTGTGAGTTTGCCCCTACAGACTCCTGCGGGACTTCCCTGCAAAATACTTGGTCCCTCTGGGCCCCCTTGGGTGCTTAAGGCAAGTTCAAGTATTAGTTGTTCCTCTAGCATAAGCACGGCGGGATTGTACTGGTTCCCCAAAGCGACTTAGCAGACGCAGTACGAGTGAACTATCGATAGGGAACATACGGAACGAGTGCTTCATTTTGCAAGCGATGCGAGGCATTTAGCATTTTTGTGTGTGTAATTCTTGGATGTGTGTGTAAAGTTTGGGGAAAAAAAAGAGGCAAAGTGTTGAAAATGTGTGTAAGCAGCTGAAAAAAAACTGTAAATACAGTAACAGTACTATAATGAGGCTCTATGTAAGCAGACAGTGTGCAGTACACTAGTACTCATTCTGAACTATGCCAAACAGTATTTCTCAGCTGTACAGACCGTGTGCTTGGGGAGCTTTCCTCTTTCCCGCTGAGTTTACTGACAGCTCGAGTGGACGGTTTGCTGGGTTTATTCCTGAAAAACAAACCAGAGAAATGAGTCTGGATTGACTGAGCCGTGAGCATCGCAGCATCAGACGTCTGTCGTACTTCTCTGCCTCCAGACGAGACGCGGCGCGCGTCGTCGCTCTGCTTTGGGTCTCTTCTTCATCATCCTCTTTTTCTCCGTCTCTTTTCTCTGATGCTCCTGTATCTGTGAATCAGACGAACAGACAGAAAATCCTCTACAGCAGCGGTTATCAAACTGAATTTTTTTTTTATTGTAATCAAAAACTAAAAAAATTTAATTAATTGGGTCTACACACCAGAGTCGTCTGTGGCGGAGGATGTTTTGGAGGGTCGTCCGCGGCGGGCCGGTTTCTGCTGCCGGTCCTCCTGAACACACACACACAGACACAGACACACAGACATGTCAGTCATTCATTCATACGTCTGTGATCGCAGGCAGTTAGTGTTTCAGGAGTGTTTGTTTGCTCACTGTCACATCTTCCTCATCCTTCCTCTCCTCCTCTTCATCACTCGCTTTGATGGTGTCCTGATCTTCAGACGGACTCGCTGAGAGAAACACAGACAAATTAAACAGGCATCATTCTGTACGACTGTCACAAAATGAGACGTTTAACAGAATGATCACGCTGCTCTTTCACATACAATGAAGATTAATGTAGACGACACTGGATAAAAACTACTGACCTTCATCTTTTCTCTGTTTAGCAGATTGATCTGGCTCTTCCTTCATCTCTACTGTCGAGTCCTGCAGAAACACTCATTATAAAGCTCTTCATCTCACACACACGTCTGGTCAGCTATCCTTGTGGGGACTCTCCATAGGCGTAATGGTTTTTATACGGTACAGACCTTATATTCTGTTGCCCTACACCAACTCTACCCCTAAACCTACCCCTCACAGGAGACTTTCTGCATTTTTAGATTTTCAAAAAACTTCATTCTGTGTGATTTATTAGCTTGTTTACCCGTGGGGACCACAATTTAGGTCCCCACCGTGACACGAGTCCTCATGAGTCTGTGTGTAGTCAGGTTTAAGTCCCCACCAGAATAGAAAAACAGGTACACACACACACACGCAGACGGACTTACTGGAGCAGAAGCAGGAAGATCGTCTGATCTCTTCCGTTTCAGTGCAGGTTTCACTAGAGAGAGAGAGACAGAGAGGTGAAGTGATGATCCACAGACAGACAGGTGTGTGTGTGTGAGAGAGAGTGTGTGTGAGAGTGTGTGTGTGTGTGTGTGAGAGAGTGTGTGAGTGTGTGAGAGAGAGTGTGTGTGTGTGTGTGCGTCACCTGCAGGAGTGTCTCTAGTCTGAGCTGTGGAGCGGAGACTCCTGCGGTTCTGCTGAAAACAACATTAACACAAACACTTCAGTCCCATCAAAAACTACGGTTCATCTGTGAATCATTGATCACATGACCTGGAACGAATCTCTGGATTTTGATATAAAATGTGATGGTCAAATATTAAAGTAACGCTGGATCTGATAGTATTTCCATCAAATACCAATAAAAAACATTTGTAAACACTTAAATGATCTGTAAATGTTTGGTGTGACGATGGCATCAGTACTGGACAGCGATTCTTTATTTACACATAAATAATATGAACTGAAACTATGATCTTAGGAAAAGCAGAAAATTAGGGAAGAGACAAAATACAAGTTTAAAGCTACATGCATTAGTCTTTTAAAAATAGAATTATTAAGTGTTTTTTCTTTAAATCTGGTTTTTCTCTAACTGAAGAATCAGCCAAACACACAATCAAGTGCACCTCTTTTAGCTCCTCCTCCACGGCTGGCTCCGCCTCCTTCGGCTGTGAAGCAGAGCCTTATGGGAAAGCAGAGAAACGGGGTCAGATGATCAGGTGTGTGAGAGGAGAAGGGCTCGCTGCAGGTGTAACTGAGACTCACGTGCTTCTCTCTGTGGAGCATCAGATGCTCTGGAGGATCTTCCTCTGCGTGGAGTCCTGCTCGACCTCTCCTCCTCTTCATCCTCACACTGTCACACACAGGTATTTGACTTATTTATTCACTGGCAAACTACGTAGCTGAAGAACTGGAAGAAGTGACTATGGAAGCCCATTTCCGCCACGTAAGAGGAAATAAAATCATGCTTATGGCTTTAAAAGTCATACTTAGGAGATGAAAAGTGAAATGTATGACTTTAAATGTAATTACAAACTAAGACAAAATTCTGACATTCATACCAAGTCATAAGAGAGGGAGAGAGAG